AAGCAGCTACCAACCTAAAAAAAAGCATAACGGTTTCTTCTGGCGTTCCCCAAGGGGCTCATCTTTCTCCACTCTTATTTAATATTTTCAATGACCTTCCTTATAATCTGAAATATTCAACTCCTCTTCTCTTTGCGGATGACATAAAATTTTTCATTCCCATTACGTCTGAAGATAACCACTTATTACTTCATCATTACTACTACTTTATCATTAGTCTTTAAAAAACCACCTGTATCTTAATAATGATAAATGCTATTCTATCAGCTTTTACCGGGCTAAAACTAATTGTATCTTTACTTACTTTATTCATGAGAATATTCTTCCTTTTAAAATTACATCTAAAGACCTCGGTGTTATGTTTGACCACAAATTAAATTTTATTGTCCATATAGATCATAGTACATCCTCTAGTATAAAATGCTGGATTTTTTATCCCGTTACTCTTCTCATCTAAACCCACATGCTTTGATCATTTTCACATATCGCTTGTAAGATCAGTGCTTAAATACTGTTTTCTTTGAAATCCCTACACTCTAAAATCTATGTATAAACCTCAATCGGTACAACTTAAATGTCTGAGAATTATTACCAATAAAATAGGTTTGTAGACAAATTGAACAGTAATTTTCTTTCCCTAGTTAAAAAATTAACTATTTTATTGACAGTCATTTTTTACTTAGTCAAATTAACTTTTCTGTACCGAGTTACATTTCCATATTCCATAAAATACTCCTATTAACAGAATGATGCGTTCAGCCAATAACTTTCCAAATCTTGCAATTTTTAATTCTTCTTTTTCGTCATTCTATAGTCAAGTGTTCAGACATGTTAAATCTTGAATTATTATGTATATTTTAAGTTTTTAGAAATTCATTATTTCTATAACAATAAAATATTTTGCATATAAATTATTGCACTTCTGTACGTGAATGTAGGTGCATGTAAGTTATAATTTCGATGGGAGAAACTAAGTTTTTAAAAAAAACATTTATTTAATATAAACTTACAAACTTTTAAACATTCAATACTAGAGTCCTATTGAAGTATGTATCTAATGTCGAATCTATTGGTATACATTTCAGTTGTTTTCTAAAGTCCAGTACATTAAGCAAAACGAACTTATGTATCTAGTTCGGAATCCAGGGTGGATCTGAAGTAGAAGAGGGGTCTTGATGCTTAGCTCCCACCAGCATTTATTAAGTTGACTCCAGGCATAATGACGATGTAATATGTATATATTTCCATATTTAACTTATATTATTTCTAACTAAAATATTTACTGAATATAATCCATCTAAATATGCACAAAATACTCTTAATTTTTCTTACTTAATCAACATATTTTTATGGAATTGTTTCCTAATATTATTTATATAATGTTTTAAAATATGTTACATTACTTTACAATGACAATTTAAAAATTTAAAATATCAATGATAAATGTGATATTTTTTTAGGTATATTTATAATAATGAAACATTCTTTTAAGCTATTTTCTTACTTTACATATTGTTTAATACTTAAGTAAATTTTTCATCTTTATTTGGGTATTTTTGCTTTTATATTGTTATATTTCTATTTTTATTTTTTATTTATATTNACAGTTTTCGTAAAGTTGAATTTGTAAAAATTCCACAGACGTTATGAAATTTTACGTGGAACATTTGACATCGGTGAGAACAAAATTGCCCCCTTGCTAATTCAGCCCAAAAATGTTTATTTTTGTTTAATATAAAAATTCGTATTTAAGGGCTTTAATGAGGGCTTAAAACGAATCTTAATTTTTTAAAGAATTTCTTTTGCCCAACTTTACACTTTTTTGCAGCTTTCGGTTGTTATAATTTTTAACATATCTCATTTGATTTAATGTAATATTTCATATTCTTTCCTTATTCTAGTTTACTGATGTTTAATGAATATGAAATATATGGACAACAAAGGCAGAAAACCATTTTTAAAATTTTCTGTTTTAAGACTCATTAAGAAGAAAGCTCAGACTGCTACCTAATATTTTCGACCTAGCATCACCAAAGGAAGTTTGATTCAAATGGGTGATCCCAAATCCTCATTGTTACAAATAAAATACAATATATTATTTAAGTGGGCAAGAATTTCATTTATTTAAATGTGATTCTGACTCTTGGTCTTTTCAAGAGGGCCCGATTTGCTGAAATTATCAGGTTTGGGATTTCCATGGCAGTCAGGTCGGTAATGGATAGGGCTTGAAGTATTTAGTAAAACCAGCGCTCCCTCTACTCAAACCCCGTCGGACATTAATTTTATATGCAAACTACAACGGCGTACATCACCAACAAAGAGAACGGTCATCAACAGAGTGCCGAACAGGCAGCTAATCAGTCTAACTCCGGTTACAACTTTGAATCAAATTAAAGCTTAACGGATAAAAGTTGATCTGCCCGGTTCGAGTGTATTACTCGAAAAACTTCAAAATATATTTAGACGACAGTAAATCGACTGATTTTTATTTCCGTTTGATTAAATTGTTCCCGCATACCATAAGGTGTCCTTCTTACTTTGGACATCTACTCAGTGACATTCCGAATCGATGTGTTCTTTATTTGGTTAAAAATTGAAAAATAAGAATAATGTGGAAATACAGTTCATTTTCATCTGCTTAGTCGATCACTGAAACGACTTACATTGTGCGGCGACACAATGTACTAAAAAAGAAATATCCTAATAAATCATAAGAGAAATCAAACGTTTTCCAATGCCTTTTATTTTATTTAATACATATTACTATTTGTATATACATAGGTGCTGTTCAAAATAGTTTACATGATCTGCTGCAGGAATGGAATGTAATTGAGATAAGCGGTAATCACATTATGTTGTGAACATAACTGTGAAAACCACCAGTGCGCCGACTAACCGCAAAACATAGAGCCCCACTAGAAGAACCACGTGTTCCCTTTGAATTGTAAGAGATTGAAGGACCCGTCACCAAACAACATCAAATAACCCTTAACCCGTGTAAATCACCCCGATTTGCGGAGGAGACTGTGGTACTAGAAAGTCGAGACCGAAATTTTTACATACTTTTTTGTCAAACTTGTTGACCAACTTTTAAATAAATTCACTATTTTCGTGGTCCGCTTGACCAATTAATACAAGACAATTAATTAAGGTTTNTTGTATATCTTTCAAATTTAGCGTTTAGCCATTTTGGAGGAAAATCGGTGAAATATTATCTATGACTGGGTTTTAAAATTAAAAGAATCTTCTATAATTATTAATATAGAGGAGTTCAGCGGGTCTGGGGGTACATCAGCCGGTGTTAGCTAAGGGTAAAATTTTATAAGGCCCGGACTATTAAATAAGGATGTACTAACGATGTTGAAATCGGGAGATAGTTCACGCGAACTGTCTAAAAACATGTATAGTGTGTCAGGCAGGAAAAGACCCCCCACGTCAACATAATGGGAGATTGTTTTCTAAAAATTCCAGCATATTTCCCTATATAAACGGGATATGGAGATGTGAACTACCAACTAAATGTATCGTTATTTTAGTGGATATTTGTTAATTAAAAGAAAAGCATTCTTTTTATTTAAACGCATTTCATCAATTCTCTGCATATTATTTCACTGCAATCGGTAGATGGGACGACGTTGATTCTCACCCGGGATGCGGACGGGGCAGGTGAGTTGCAATGTTCGTAAAATTCTATATTCGGTCATGTGCATCCGTTCTGTAATTGATGCTGCGTTTATCTCTGTTGATGTAAAACATTTCTAAAAAGTTAAGTTTATGTTTGTTTTGTTCTGTGCTTAATATTTTTGGATTGTTGAATTCGAAATTGTGTTGGTGTTCAAAGAGTTGGGTGCCAGTGCTGTAGGATTTTGTTTGTTTTTTTGGAATCATAGATATGTTGTTTTACCCTCTTATCCAGATATTGAGATGTAATTTCGATGTAAGTTGCCGGACAATTTATACAATTGATTTTGTAAATTACATCAAACTTATTTTTTACTCGTGTGGGCTCTTTAATTTTGGAAAATTTTAAAATAATAATATAATATAAAACAGAAGTACGTTGGTTATCTGCAAGTGCATGTTTAAATTGATTTTTTGATTCAGTGTTGGAATTTCTGGAAACTAAAGACAATGATTTGCGACACAATTTTAATCAACTCAAAAAATGACATAGCCTATATATCTGATTTATTTGCCAAATTTAACGAAACTAATTTGAAACTACAAGGTGACCAATTAAATTTAATCAAAATTAAAAGCATAATATCTGCATTTGTTGCAAGACTTTTTCTTTACAAATGAAACTTGTGAAGAGGAGAACGATCACAGTTTCCAAATCTTTCGAAATTGCAAATTAGAGATGAAGATTTGCTTGCTTACTGTCAATACTTAACGGCTCTTCATACAGACCTGAACCAAAGATTTGAAGACATTCTTCACTTGGATATTTCCGACTGGGTGTTGACCCCCCCCCCCCCCAAGATCCCAAACAAAGATGAATCCGTACTAATACAGGAGCAGCTTATTGAAATATCCACAAATGAATAACTTAACCAACATTTGAACAAGGATACCAAAAATTCTGGTTATAAAAACAGATCCCAATTTTATATTCTGCATTATGGGTTATTGTACAGACATTGACTGCTTTCCTGTCTTCCTATTTGGTAGAACGTGGATTCAATGCTGTTATAAACCTCATCACAAAAGAAAGAAACCGATTAGAAATTATACACTCATAACATCTCATCACATTCATCCAAGTCATTAATTTTTTTATATTTTATTTTAAACAAAAGTAATTAATATTATAATTTATATATATTTATAATTTCAAAAATACTTCTTCAACAAAATGTTGTTTTTTTAATTTGTAATTTTTATATTGTGTTGTTTTTTGTGGCTTTTTCAGTTGGGGGTCCGTGGGCAATTTTTGACTATAAAAAGGGGTACATGGGTCAAAAAAGTTTGGGAACCACTGTACTAGAGAAACACACTGTACAGACTAAGTTCTATCAGCACTCAAAACTTAACAAATCACTTTTTTTATTAATTACCATGTTGCAGCTATTGTTGTTTAACACTGATTCTACAGGTTTATGTTTCTGTTCTGGATCATAATACTCTTGAATGTTTTGTCTTTCTTCTACATCACTACTATCCTCAGAATATTCACTTGTACTCGATTCACTCTGCAAACTGTGCCCAACATTCGCCGATAAATAACCTTCATCGTTTACCTACAATTGCCATATTGGTAAAAAATTAAATAATAGTTGAGAGCTGAGACTAAAAGATCAAAAAAAATTAATTCTGAACTTGGCTAAATATCTAGTAATTATATACCTTCTTAAATGATGTGGACTGTATTTCTGGTTCAGGTGTTGCAGGAACTTTATTCTGATTTCCTTTGGCTAAAAATGCATTCAATTACTATTTAAATAAGTAAAAAAATATATAATATAATGTATATTTTTAAAAAAATTGGCTATATTAGTATCATTAAATTTTACTTATCTGAGAATTGAAATAAAAAATCAAATAAGGAATCAATAATTAATTACAGCTATTGTTGTAAGCCACTGTATGTTGTGCGGTGTTTTCATCCACCTGTACATAAACAAAACCAATTACTGTTGAGTGCGCTAGATTACACATAAGAACAATGATTTACTTGCAGAAGGTTCCTATGTTCAGATTCAGGTTCTCTACCATGAAAATTCTTACAAACACGCAATCCTAAAAGAAAATTAAATTGTCTTTAAAGCCAAATGCCTAACCGACAAAAAATGAAAGCTTAGAAATCTATTAAACAGAGACGCTAAGATGTTAAGAATGAGTTAAATGTCTATAAATAAAAAAAAGAGTGTTTAAACTTGGAGCGCTAACATTAAGCGTAATTTCTTCACTCTGTAATATTTGCTTATTTTGACATAATACTGCTTGTACCTATTAGCCTAAGTAATATGCACGTTGAGGTTGTAATATGCATTAATTATCTAAATAAATTCTACACATCCCTACACTCAAGTGGACCAACCTAAGAAGAACCTTTGGACACTACGATGCATAAAAATGTATTCAAGAGTAATTTGGATTTTGGTAAAATCTGAAATCTCTCAGTAAAATCCGCATCTTGGCTAAAATCAAAATGGGTAGGTACATATAAAGCTGGGTTTCAATTGCGTGTAAATCACTTGCGTGACTATTTCGCAAAACTTGTCTCGCATTTTGGATACCTAGCAGGGACTTGAAAACGTTTTGCACGAGGTTTTTTATAGCGCATGTAAGTGCTATGCGTTGTCTGCTTCTCTCTGTGTAAATGCACACAAGTCTCGAGCTTCAGAATGAACCAGGAGGACTACATTTGTCTTATCCCACTGTATCAGAGCTATCAATTTTTGTGGGAAAAATAGAAGATGTGCGAAAGAAAATCTGGTTTTCTTTTTATTCTTATTATAAACGATGGCAAACCCTGATGCTGCAGTATGAATGGCATGCTTGTCTCATACAAACTGATGGCTCACCTTGTTGTCGTGAATGGCTCGTGGAAATGGTTAATATTATCGCGGAGCAGCACATGGAAAAGATTACTAGAAATGTTGAAGTAGGCCATTAAATTGATCTCTGAAAGGTGTCATAAAACCAACTCAAAAATAGCCTCTGACCTTTGATCGTGACAGGCCATGAAGCCTATCACAGGATCAAAATAGCAAAAAGCACTAGATGTGTGTATTCGAAACAAACGACAATGATAAGGTCAAACCATACTTTTCAGCTATCCAAGATTCACGGACAAAGAGAACGCCTGAGATCTCTCTTTCCACAAGGATGGCCACCAATGTTAAATAATTTCATCAAAAAAGAGGAAACATATAAAGCCTTCAAGGGGTTTCTTGTCGAGAGTTTTATAATCAACGATCTGGATCTAATAAAATTATTTCTCTCCTAAGTAATCGAAAATATTAATTACAGTTTGCCTTCATGGGGTTTCTTTTTCGAGAGTTTTACAACGATCTGGATCAAATAAAATTATTTCTCTCCTAGGTAATCAAATATATAAACAATAATTTGCCTTCAAGGGGTTTCTTTTTCGAGAGTTTTACAACGATCTGGATATAATAAAATTATTTCTCTCCTAGGTAATCGAATATATAAATTATAGTTTGCCTTCATGGGGTTTCTTTTTCGAGAGTTTTACAACGATCTGGATCAAATAAAATTATTTCTCTCCTAGGTAATCAAATATATAAACAATAATTTGCCTTCAAGGGGTTTCTTTTTCGAGAGTTTTACAACGATCTGGATATAATAAAATTATTTCTCTCCTAGGTAATTGAATATATAAATTATGGTTTATTTATTTATTGTCTATTTACTATTAACTTTATTATTTATTTTATTATGGAAAAATGGAAGTGTAGAGTGGGTTGTACTACAAGAGAGAACCAACAAAGAGAAACCTCTTTGCAAAATTCTTAAGTTTAGAAGGAGTACAAAGAACTCTTCTTAAATGAAAGTCCATACAGGCAATTAAAGTAAAACTGACTCCATAGATTTACATCCTAATAAATTAGAATATGAGGTCTGCGTCATGAACAGTGGGGAGGTGAACGAGGTGAAAAAAAATCTTAATCACAAATTAACTTAACAAATTGAATTACTATTTAAACTTTTACATACCTAAAGTATGTCCATTTTGGTATTCATATGGAACATGTGTTGAAGAATTACCAAGCAAAATGTCATTGTAGTTTTGACAATTTGATTTCTCCTCTGTAACCAAAGCGTTGTAATGAATTATAATGAAAGTACAACTGATGTAAACAAATATCATTACCAAAAGAATTCAAAATTGATCTAGTGTAATTTTTTGTGTCACGAACATTACTTGACATATCACCACAAAGTTTCAAAAAAGATGTCATTTGAGCTTCAATGAAGCCCAGATGTTTCAAGAACTTCTGATGCTGGTTCTATAACAAGAATAAAATTCGAATGGTTATTTTGGCTTACTTGAATGTATCAACAACAATAAATATTTATAATGAAATAATATACTGAAAACATAAATATACCTTTTTTTCATTTTCGACTGCCCACATTATCAAGTCCTTTGTAATAACGTTAAAGCCATTCACATTGTTCCTTCCGTTGAGTTGATTTATTTCAATCACATTCATTGCCATTGAGTAATAATTCTCCATCAATCTAGTATACTCTGTAATACATTAAATAACAGTTTAGCTCGCAAAGTACTGCTATAAATAAATAAATCCTTTTATTTAACCTGCTATCATTAACTGACTTGTGCATGATAGCAGAGAGTAGTTCAGAGCCACAAAAAATAAATTATACAAAATATTTTAACAAAATAAAATCTTCTAACCCAATATAAATATAAAATAAAAACTAATTACATTATTTTAGATGTAATTTTAAAATAATAAATTACCAAACAGAAACAATCTTTTTAAAAATAAGTTATTACATTTCATAAAGTTGGTACAATTATAATTAATAAAGAGTAATAATTACTAATTATTATTAAATTATGAAGAGCCCTCTCTGACCGATCCAAACCTCCAACGGTGCCAGTACTGGCCACCAATCATGGGAGTGTAATGCAGGCTTCAGAGGTGGCTGAAGATCTGGCATGGCACTTCACCATGGTGCCCAGTTCCAAAGCATATTCCAATAGCTTCTGGCAAAGGAAAACTGAGCACCAGTCATTGAAGTGGACAACATGCCCCTGATGATGGTGGAGTTCGAGTCCATGTTGGGGCGCACTTGGAATTCAAGTCTCGGGTGTGACGGTATCCCATATGAGCTGTTTCACCACCTTTTCCCCCAGGGAATGCTCCCTCATCATGTCACTGTGGGTTCATTGTCACCCCAGAGAGTCTCCTCATGAGCCATCATTCACCCCAATGAGCCCACAACCCCCATAATGTTTTTTCATTTGATTCTTATTAGTGAATGACTCATTTGATTATAGGGACTAAGTGAATTTACAGTTAGTTATAAGTTAAGTTAAAATTATTTGAGATATTATAGTCTTATAGTTTGTTTATTTTCCATTAAAACATGTTTAACAGTTATTGTTACATGGCAAGCTTTACCGAGTGAGGGGTTGATTCTTTGGCTATGTAGAATCTACTCATGTAATGAGTGTGGCCTATCCTCAGTCTAGACAACACTTCTTCCTGTTTGTTCTGTTGATTGGAAGATTCCATTTAAAATGATATAAACATGAAAACTGAATAAATTCTTAATAATTACTTAAATTCTGAGTATAAAAGTTTAGTGCTAAATCTGCAATTTTTCTATAAAATGATTTTAATAAGTGTTTCCTGGGTGATCATGAATGGTTTAATATAGCTGTTCGCTGTTCCACCCCAAGCGAATAAATTAATTTCAATTTATTTCTAGACATAAAATTTTCCAACACTCCAAATTTGTGAAAAAATTTGTAGATTCTACGAATTATTAAATCAATATGGAATTTAAAAGTTAAATTAAAATAAAAAACCCTGTCCAAATATTTTATTTTATTAGTAAATACCAAGTCACATGAGCAATCAATGGAGTCTGAACAAGTATTGAAAGCAATTTTCTTCGAGATTAAGTTTTCATCCAAAACTTTTTTGTTCTTGTTGGCTAAATGATAATTGTTTGAAAACCAAGAATGCACAATGCTTATGTCTTTATATCAGACAACACATTTTTTAAACCATAATCAGAAAAAAAGTGGTATCATTAGCAAAACTAAAAGGTTTACGAGATAAATTAGGTTGAACAAATTATTTATGTAAACAAGAAAGAGAATTGGCCTTAATATTGAGCCTTGTGGTACACCAGAAAAAATATTAGTTGGAACACTAACAGAAGAAGCAACTCTAGTAACCTGAGTTCGATTAGAAAGGAAAAACTAAAAAATTTCAATGGCACAACACAAATACCATATTGGACATCTTCAGCAAAAAGAACTCAGGATCAACAGTCAAATGCTTTACTAATGTCTAAAAAGACCCTAAAAACATAATTATTTCTATCCAGCTCATTTATGATATGGTCCATATTAAAGCCATCCCAGTTGATTTACCTGGTAAGAAGCCATATGTATAAATTTATAAGAATATAATATGTAAATGCATCTAGTTTACAGCTTACTTACCGATTTCTCTTTTGTTCAACTGTTTCTTCGCTAAAAGCAGCTTTCTCCTCAGGTTGCGGTTGGACTGAATAAGTTTGCTTACCTAGAAAGAAAATGGCTTGAAAATATTTAAAGGCAAGGAGTCAGTTAAGAACAGCCAATTGATCACGAATCAATTTTTTTCAAGTTGTCCATTTTTCCAAGAGTTAAATTAATTTCTTTGTTTAATAATAATAATACATTGAGACGTGCTGTTATGATCAGCGAGGGCACAAAACCCTGATTATTTCCAATAGTCGATCAGCAAATTGGATTAATGTTATTATTTAGAGTGTGGCGTTCCTAATCATCTGATAGAACAGAAAAATACCAATATGGTACACTGATGAACAAAATTAATGCATCACCCTTAAACTTTAATGTATTTAGATTTTTTTTAAATATTTTCCATACCAAAAATAAGACATTTAAAAAGAAAATGTTTATTAACTAATTCTAAAAACAATTATTGAGTAAGGGGGTAACAGAAAATTTAAAAGCAAATAAAAATAAATAAAAACTTTTGACCACTTTAATATCGAGTATTTCCACGTCTGGCAAGAATCATCCGTTAAACGCCTTTGCATACCTTGAAAAAGATTTCTGTTAAAATCTTGGGGAATTCTTTCCCATTCATTAAAAACAGCCATTTCCAACTGTTCTAGAGTGTTAGGACCTGGGTTTCACCGTCGTACTTGTCACTTAATTCAGTCCCAAATGTGTTCAGTTGAGTTCAAATCTCGACTTCGAGCTGGCCACACCAAACACTCAATTTCAACCTCAATCAGGTAGTCATCCACAATGCGTGATGTATGGAGCCTGGCGTTATCCTGCATTAACAAGAAAATCTACCTGATGTGGGGGGGGGCAAATGTTCTTCAATTATGTCTTGTAAGCACCTCTCTGAAGTTAAAAATAAGCAGAGATCTTCTTCACACAACCAATTCAGAGCATGTGTCCAAATAAATGTCACCCCAGAGTATCAATGATGCATTGTGGGGCCCTCTATATGAAATTACGACTTTTTGAAAATTTGAAGCCCACTCATCCCCCATCTTCAAATGTCCAATTCGCATGTTCTTGTAACAAGCCTGGCCATTTTCTGAGCTAGGGGTAAGAAGAGGTCCACGAGCCGTGTGACAAGCCCACAAGAGGTTATTTTTATCGGGCCTTCTTATTACTGCCCTGGAGGGAATCAAAACATTCCGGACTTGTCTTAACATATTTCTTATCTCATTTTCTGTTATGCTGTGGTTTCATATATCCTGATGATGGATGAGTAATTTAACCTAGGTTGACCTGTCTTGGCATGTTTTTCTGAAGCGCCGAAGAACGCTTCTTATTGCAGAGTGATTTACACTCAGCCTCCTGGCGACTTCATGCTGTATCATTCATATAATAATGTTAAGACCCTGACATTGTCATACTCACTCAAATGTATGATTGGAGCCATTGAAAAACGTTTATGAATAAGAATAATATCAAGTAAAATCAACAAATGAAAAAAAATTAAATGAAAGCGATCTGTATGCGTATCAAAATGGAAGGGCATACAGCAAAAAGGCTACTTTTTGTGCAAATGAGATTAATCAGTATAAAAGTAAACAAAGCATGATTTACTGTTTATTTTGACTATGATAGCTCATAATTTCCTGAAACCAATGTAGAAAGATAATGGTTTTAATTTTAAACTAAATATAATGAACGAAGTGTTAAATTTATCATCAATGTAAATAATAAACAAACAAAATAACAAAAATATTGATTACTAGAACAGAAGTCACTAGTGAATAGAGTGAAGTTGTTTAATAAAAATTATTAAATGATAAGGCAAAAAAAAACAGTTGAGGGAATTTATTGACCAGGTTCATTATTTCATCAAAAGGAATATTATGTCCATACTTAGGTGAATGATATTCAATTAAAATTTTTAATTAGAAACAATATAAAGTTAAAATATGTTAATATGTACATACACACACACGTATGACTTTAAGTGAAAAATAAATAATTTTTATGAAAAACATTTTGTTATAAAATTATGAAAGATGATTTAACTTAAAATATATAATTTTAATAATTGAAGATTTAACTTGTCTGCAAACTTGATTGTAGAATGAAGAAAGAGAGGAAGTAAAAATAGTAAATATAGAAAGTTATTGGCATAACGCATAATTCTATCAATAATTAGATGCCGAATCATACATTAATTGAGGAGGGCTTACTCTTTTTTCCAGGAAATTTCGCCTCTTTCGACTGTCCATGGTGCCAGGGTCAGTTGGGCGACGGCCTGCTGCAAAGTGTAAACAAACTCGGGTCAAACAACTCGGTCTCCCGTCACTTTCTCAGAGCGCGGCCGGACATTTCAAAGATGAGGGCCGCCGAGAGGCACCCGGTTATGCGCACGAAGAGGAAAATCGGATATTACGCGTCTGCCGAATTCCCGGGTATGAAGGAGAAAAAGGATAAGAGTAAACAAAAGGACGAGAATTGAGAAGCACAGGTCTGACAGAGTATTAGTACAGACTACAGAGCTGCCAGCACTGATCAGAGCAGTGCCAAAAAGGGATGGGTATCGAGCACTCGATGTTTCATAAACATTTTAAAAAACATCGATGATCATCGATGATCCTATTATCGATAGTTAATGTTTGTCTAATGTCGATGTTTTCGCCCGAACCATTGATGACCCGATCAAACAACATCATTATAAATTTGAGATTGATGATTGATTTTATTTAACCACAAAAAGTTAGGTCTCCTGGAACTTTCTTCCACTTAACGTGAGTTGTGTTGTTCATTATACATTTATGCTTTTAGTTTTTACAATTTATTTTACAAATAGAATAAAAGAAAAAAGTTTTACATATTTTTTATTAAATATTTCACGTTCATTTTTTTGTTAATAAATTTATAATATAATATGTATTTATTTATGTAAAAAACTGAATAATAATCAAAACAAAAAGAAAAGATAAACACTAAAAATTTTAGCAAGAATTTTTTATAGTTAATCATGACTTTAAAGGAATTAACCAATTAGTTTTTAATTTTCGTTATTATTATTATATTTATTTAGAGAATAAAAAAACATAATATAATATGAACATAATTTATGTTTAGTGGTCTAATTGACTATATTAATTATTTCAATTGATTAGTATTTTTATGTAAGGTCTTGGTTGAGATGAAAAAGTTAGCGTCACGAATGGGATTCGAACCCACGACCAATAGATCAATACATCGCTGCTCTAACCACTTGAGCTATCATGACTTCGATCTTTATTTTGAAAAATGGTAAGAAGTGGTAAAATGCAAAAGGTTGTAGATTGAGATGGGCTATAAAGGCTATAAATAGAATAATTAATTGATAATATGGTCAATTAGACCATTAAACTTAAATGGATTAATATAATAAGTAAAAGAAGTAATCACTTCACTAACAGCTCGCTCGATTGTCATAAGTCACTGAGAATCAAATCCAGATTACACGACATTTGAAAAATGGCAAAAAGTGGTAAAATGCGAAAGGTTGAGATGGGGAGTTGGTGTCTGAGTAGATTGAAGTCATGATAGATCCAAGTGGTTAGAGCAGCGGCGGCTCATGGGTTTGAATTTCGCACGTGACACTAACTTTTTCATCTCAACCACGACTTACATAAAAAAAAGGTAATAATATTTGAAATATGTACATAATATTAATTAATTTATGGTTCCATAATTTTATGATGTTGGTTATTTTCTATCAGATGTTATAGAATTTTCTTTTGAAAGTACAAAAACTGCTCCTCTCATCTGCTTTTTTATTATTATTATTTTTTTAAGGCTACGCCCTTATTCAGACAACATAGCAAAGCCCATACAGACCGTGCAATAGCAGCCCCAGGCCTGAAAAGAACGGAATCCCGCCAATCTCTTGCAACTAATGCTTTTAAACTTAATATTGTGCACAGGGTTTATCGAGGAGGTCTAGTTACCATTGACACCTCCCTTAAGCTTTCTGGAGATTCCTTGATCTCAGAATCCAGGGAGGCGCCCCTCACTCCAGTCCAAGACCAACCAGCACCCGAGGCCCTAGACGGGCATCACCATAACTTAGAGCCCATCACTCTGTCAACATGGGGTACCAGTAGAAAAAACAAGAGTTGAGGGGATAGAAAATTAAATTTTATCTATTAATTGGATGTCTGTTAAGAAGTTAAAAGTTGCTTTTATTGATATTGAATTGTTGTTTAGTGTGAAGTTTTCGGGGTTTGGTGGAGGGTTCTTGCAGAGGTGTATAAAGAACAATCAATTATGATGTCGAATGTGGAATGCAGTGATAGGAGATAGGAGAAGGTCTGGAAGAGAATGCCAATTTTTTTACCTTTCTTTATTGCAAGAAGTTTGTTTCCTGTGCAGACTCCTTATTGAAGCTTCCAAGACTCCCAGACGATAGTTCCTAATTTTGTGAAACCAACATAGAAAGATAATGGTTTTAATTTTAAACTAAATATAATGAACAAGGAGTCAAATTTGTCATCAATGTAAATAATAAACAAACAAAATAACAAAAATATTGATTACTAGAACAGAAGTCACTAGTGAATAGAGTGAAGTTGTTTAAAAAAAAGGATTAAATGATAAGAAAAAAAAATCAGTTGAGGGAATTTATTGGCCATGTTCATTATTTCATCAAAGGAATATTTTGTCCATGCTTAGAATTCAATTAAAATTCAAAATAAAATTAAAATTCAATTAAGATTCAATTAAAATTTTTAATTAGAAACAATATAAAGTTAAAATATGTATACATACATATTTGTGTACATATAGTTAAAATAATTGACGTTTATTACACACTTTAAAATAGACAAGGTTTATTACACACTTTAAAATAGACAAGGTTTATTACACACTTTAAAATATTTTATGTTTATTGCTTAAAATATTTTATGCTTATTACACACTTTAAAATAGTTAATTTTATTACTTAATTAAATATATTATGCTTATTACACAGTTTAAAATAGCTGATGTTAATTACACACTTTAAAATAGTTTGTTTATTACTTAAAATAGATTTTGTTTTGTTTATTATTCACTTTAAAATAGACGAGGTTTATTACCCACTTTAAAATAAACAAGATTAGTTTATTAGTTAATTTTATTACTTACTTAAAATAGATTATGCTTATTACACAGTTTAAAATAGTTGACGTTAATTACACACTTTAAAATATTTTGTTTATTGTTTAAAATAGTTTATGCTTCTTACACACTTTAAAATAGTTAATTTTATTACTCACTTAAAAATAAATTATGTTTATTATACACTTTAAAATAATGTATGTTTCTTACACATTTTAAAATAGATTATGTTTATCCACATTTTTTACTTTTGTTTGTTTAGTTTACTTTGCATGTAATTTAAATTGTTTTTATTCAGCCTCATTTGGGTTCTGATTTAATCAATTGTTTAGTTTTGTACATCAATGTTTAATTTCAATTTTGAATTTAAAAATGCCTTTTAGTGGTGAAGATCATTTTTATTTATTTTTTTATTTTCCTTAGGGATTTACATTTATTTTTTGACGAATAATCTTTCTTATTAAACTGCTTCTGCTACAACTGATGGTGACACAATGAAAGAACATACAAATCCTCTTTAATGTACCTTTCTAATCATTATTATTGATATATACAAAATAAACATTATAATTATATAATTTTCGATTTATTTGGAATTTTAATTAAGTCGATATTTTTACTAAGCCCAGAATGCCATTGAAGGGGAACGTGTGCAGTTCAATAATCGTTTCTTCAGGTGTTCGTCTGCACGTTTTGAACTTTTTAAATATCTGTGATTTGGAAAATTGAAATTATTGTTAAATTTATTAAATCGAAGCCAAGAGAACGAATTGGTCTCTGGTATAAAGAAGAGACGAATTCGCTGTTTTATCACTCTCTCTCTCTCTCGCTCTCTCTCTTTCCTATCACTCTCACTCTTTCTCTCTCTCTCTCTCTCTCTCTCTCTCTCTCTCTCTCTCTCTCTCTCTCGCACACATTTTTGATTCCAGACATATATTGATTTTAGCCGGTTTAATTCCACAAGCTCCGAAGAGCGTTGTGAACGGGCCGCCAGGAGGTGTTTAGGTCGTTCACCTCCGTCCGGACAAAACAGTCACCGTTTCGACGGCGAAACCACCCGGGGAGCTCGTACGAAATTCTCACACTTCGAAGCATCTTAAGAGCGGAGTCGGCGAGGCTCACAGCCTCGAAAGACGGCTCACAGGCGGAAAGAGGCCCGCCCTTCGTCACTCCGCCGGCGGGGTAATTTCGAGGAGACGCCGGACACGGTTGGCCCCACTGCCGAGGAGGGTTGCTTTTCAGTTGTCTGCAGCTTGCCTGCTGTCAGTGAGCGTTTTCTGTGTCTGTTTCATTCTTGTCTACATGGACTTTAATAAAGCTATTTAAGGTGAGTCATAATCAAATTATTAAGAAAAATAAATACCATTTAAACCTTAGATGGAAATTTTACCTTCATACTTTGCAAGTACATAATCGCCCATTTTTAGAATTAAACTTTAATCATTTATGGATTTTATATAAAGTTGAAAAAATTAATTTCATTTTGTTAAAAAAATGCAGTTATTTTAACAAAGGTTTTGACTAATTTTATTGATGTTATCTAGAATCAGAATTGTCTGCCATCTCTTGACAATTCTATTAATCCAGGGCTTTTTTGTTTGAAAATTTTTAAAAGAATATTTTATTAATTTATTCCTTTCAATTTTATCAATTGTGTAAAAAAAACAACCTTTAATTTATCATTTCTCTCCGCCGTACTTTCAATTAGTTTGCCATCACAGAATAATTTATTGTCTTCAGAAAATCTGCCAATAATCTCTTCGCGTTTGTGGAAAATATAGAAATACTCTCAAGCACCTTAAAGCTGGTTAAAACAGTCTGTGAGTAGAACTCTCTTTTCCAAAAAGTGAATTGACATACTCAACCCGCGCCTCAAATTATTACTATCTCTTCGCGTTGTTCGAGTGTCTTATTTATCAATTTTATTGCAACAATTTTTTAATATCATACATAATTTAGGTATCTACTTCAATAATGTCGGGGCAAAAGAAACAAAGAATAACAGGAAAGGTTCATCTTTATAATAGAATAACTTGTTAAATCAATATTTTTATACAAAACATACATTATTTCTTTTTATAAATTTGCTTGTCAATTCATATTGAGAAAATAATTTCTTCGCGGAATAAATTCTGAGAAAATAAACAATGAAAAGTATTATCTTAAAAAAATTCCATTCTTTTGATCAATAACTGTAAAAACAAGTTTGGGTTAATTTATGGAACTTAATAAAACATATAAAATTAATTTTGAAATAACGTATAATTATTAATTTAANATCAATAACCGTAATTTTTTTTATCGAACTTAATAATACACATAAAATAAATTAATATGAAATGAACGTATAACTAGAGATTTATATTTATTTTTCATATAATTAATTCAAATTTTAATTAATTTTTATAATTAATTTATATTTATAAACATTATTTTAAAAAAATCAATTCTTTTGATCAGTAACCGTAAAAAAAATCTTTGAGCTAATTTATCGAATTTAATAGTACATATAAAATTAATTATGAAATGAACGTATAATTTATTTTATACATTACTTATTTCGTGTTCTTCTCGTTATTGTATGTGTAAACTTTCAGACCGAATATTGTAGGAAAATCGTGGACAACCACAAAATGAAGTATATCTGCTTTGATTTTTCATTGTTTCACCACTTATTCATCACCGTTGTGTGAATTAACCGGGTTTGTACGTTAAAATAAATAGGTAAATCCACTGAATAAAAATGATGTCCGTATTCGAAAATTAATAACTTACCGTTTATATGTTTCACCCTTGAGGCTTGGATAGAATCGACAGTGGGAACCGACTTCCCACTTCAAATCAACCAAATAAAACAAACATTTTTTCTACTTCTAATAAAATTGATATCATTCATAAATAACTATCAGAAAAAAATTAAGAACCTCTGCGTGATATGCAGGAAGAGTCAATGAGGTTTTGAAACTCACAGGGATGTGGAGCCATGCCAACTCAAGTACAGTGGCCAGATGCGCTAGGTTGGCGGTTGAGGGTCCATGGCGAGAACTACCGGATGCTGGGCCTACAGATTCTCGATTGTGTTTAAGTCTGAAGAGTACGATAAACTCATCCTGGTGTTCTTCGGACCATGCACGTACTCTGTGAGCTGTATGACTCGTCGCATTGTCCTGTTGGTAGCCGTAGTCTTAAGGAAAACCAATTTGCATATAGGAGTGGATGTTGTCCGTAAGGACAGATGCGTAATTGTGTTAATCCGTTCCTTCAAAAATGATGGGTGCAACCCGAGATGGATGGCACGAAAACATTCCCCAGACCGTAATGCTCCCTCCTCCATCTTGGACATTTCCAGCTCCTCTCTTTCGGCAATTGTTGGGTTATTTGGTTTCAGCGTTTCACGCCGTACTCGCTAACGTCCATCCGTCCGAGTCATCGGAAAACCCACCTGTCGCCTCTCAGTGGTCGTCCAGTTGCAATAGTGGCGTAAAAATTTCAGCCTTGTCGTCGATGAACAGCAGTCAGCATAGGTGCATTAACCAGGTGTCTGCTGCGGAGGTCGCTGAACAGTCATTGAGGTGACACTGTTGGTAGCTCCTTCGTTCATAATACAATAATTTAATTATTTAAACTGCTCTTAAATCATATGTTTCTGGAATGAGTCAGAAAACTAGAATGGGATCTTGCTTGTTGTGCACTATTATCAATTAAATGTGATTGTATACGCAGGGTACAGAGTTAGGCCCTATCATTTTGACTTATTTACTTTAACGATTTAACAGATTGACCATTTTTGGGAAAACCTTTAGTTACGCTGATAACACACTTATACATAGACATAATATTTATTCAGCAAAAAAATTAGTTGAAATACTGACGCCATTAATAAAAAAAATTTTTGTTTACAAAGATTGTCTTGATCAAAATTCTCTGCTTTTAAATTTAGAAAAACTAACGTTATATCCTTTTCATTAAAAAACATACCAGGCTTAAACAAACAGAAAATTATTTTACAGTCGTGCAGACACATATTTAAATTGTTCATTTAAATCTCTTCCTTTTGTAACAAAAGTAAAATACTAGGTGAATTACTGGACGAACATTTAAACTGTAATTTTCATATGGAAAAGTAGGTAATAATATCATACTGAGATTTTATCTGACGGACGGTTTTGTCGAGTCCCTCAGGGAGATGAATTCTCACCTTATATTCGCATTAGGGCGGCGGGTATTACTCAGGGATGCATACTTGGCCCATTTCTATTTTCAATGTACACTGCAGGTTAAAATTTCAACACATACATTCGCTGATGATACAGCGATTCTTACACGTAATTCGGACCCCTCAATTAACACTCAACGCTTACAATCCACCTGAATGATGTACGGTTCACAATGTGGAGAATGAAGATAAACCCAACGATAAGCGTACAGATAAATTTTACCTTACGTAAAAGTATCTGCCTGACAGTGAGTATAAATGGAGCCCCATTGCCTACTACTGACCTTGTGCGTTATCGTGGACTTTTCGTGGATGAACGTCTGACTTGGAATCCCCACACAAGACTGAAAAGACAGGAAACAAACCGACGTTTTAAATTATTAACAAGACTGCTTGACTCACGATCAAAATTATCTATTGAAAACCAACTTTTAAAATACTAGACAAATGATAAGACCTCTCTGGGCGTACGGCTATGAAATATGGGGCCACTTCTACAAGAGACTCAAATGGCAATTTCAGCATATATAAACATATTTACTTAATACAATTCTTGTAGTTGTAAATATCAAATAAATGTACTAAAAAACAAGAAACATTGGTAAAAAGAATCAGAAAACATTTTCCATATTTCGAAGAATTTTACCTTTATCTACTTTAAAATCTGGTTATTTCGGTTTAGCACAATCCATATTTTGTGAGAAACGATTAAAAATATATAATATAAATAACTAAATACTATAATTTTACTTATAACAGAGTACTTAAATCTATTTTCGAAAATAGAATTAATATCAGTCTTTCGTAACTTTACTCGGTTACAAAAAATGTATACGCTCATACATTCTTGACTCAAGAGATTAAAAGTATCCCAAAGCCTTTTTATTCTAAATTAATATTACGTTTTACTTGTTTTATTATAATAAAAAGACATTGTAAATTTGTTGTAAAAAACTCGTACTATCCAGCCACAAGTATTTTTACTTATAGAAAGTAGGCGGTAATGGAAAAATAACAAATTACTTTTTAATTATGTGCTAGTTTTTTAAACTATTCAACTTCGAATCCAAAAAGCTGTATTTTTATTTTCTATTATGTCAAAATAAAGATTTATTAGTATTATTTGTTGAAGTTGTGAGGAGCGGTAAAGAATGAGGTAGTTTAGAAAAACACCTTTTTCATTATTTTTTGCAGCGTTTCGACCTTTATTCGGGTCAACTTGAAAGTGTTGTGAATGTTGGTTTTGTGTTCATAACACTTTCACACAAAACCGATATGTCACCACAAAAATAGCACCACACTTTATGCCCTGAAGTGACCCGAATAAAGGTCGAAACGTAGGCAAAAAAATGAAAAAGGTGTTTTTCTAAACTACCTCATTCTTGACCACTCCTTACGACTTCAACAAATTATGAAATAACAGGTTACTAAGAAACACACATTACTATTGGTATTAATTAAAATATCGAGTTTAAAATTAAATTCATTTTAAGAAATGATCGAATATACAATATGTAAAATACACAAGAGTGCAATAAATATCTTCATGAATGAGGCAACTTTTAAATGAAAATAAGTCATATTTCATATGACTTTCTTTGCAGGCTTAAAACAAACAAAATGATCGAATATTCTTCGATTACTGAATTTGTTTAAATTTCAGATCCGCACTGTTTCAACTTTCGTCACAGAATTCTTGTTAAACCGCTTAAAATTCATTTGGATCTTTACATATTAGGAAAAATTCCCTGAATTTTTTTCGATATATCTGGCGTGGAAAGCGATAAACATATTAAAATAATTATCCATTTGGATATTATCGGAATTAAAAAGCAAAATAGATTGGTTAATGGGTTGATTTTTTTTGTCAGTGCTGTGTGTCATAAATAATGGTTGAAGGATTCAAATTCTGAAATGGTTGAAAAATTCAAAAGCTGTCAGTGTAGGCAGACTCCAAATTAAAAGCCGAACATCCGAAGTGTGTAGCCGTTGTCAAGAAGAATTAACTGAAGGTACTGCACAGTTCTCTTCTGTCAACTGATCATAACACTAACAACATTGAGGAAAACTGACACAGAAAAAAAACTGGCTCCACACACAGTATCGTTCAA